GAAGCCTATTAAAAAATCACCAAAAGTGATTAAGCCAGTCTGACGTGGGTCCTAAGACTTCTCTTCTTTTAGAAGGCAACCCAGGTAATTCTGGTAGTTATGGGCAGCAGACAACACTTCACTCTAAAAAAGGTACTTTGGGATTAATATCTTAGCTATTACTTGCTTATGAAATTATCAGTGAAAAATCAGTATCATAAAGGTAGGTAGAAAGAGCTAGAAACAGAGACATAGAAAGAAAACCACAGAATACCAGGTTGTAAGGGATTTCTCTTTCCAATAAAAAAAATCTCCATCATCTCTGACAGATGGTCATCCTAAATACCTTCAGTGATGGGGAATTGCTGTCTTCAGGCAACACGTGCTATTCTGGGTTATAAATTCATGTTTTTAAAAAAAGGTAATTCGTAAGTTATTTGGAAAATTGAAGAAATGGGGATATTACTCAGGATAAATTATACACGAAAACCTTTCTAGACTTGATTGAACAAGATAAGGCACCAGCTAAATTCAAAACTAATTTGACTACAAGAAGATTTGAACACCCAAATGCTGGATCTGCTACCTGATTCCACTAAAAAAGCCATGCATTCTGTGTCTACTATAAAAATAAACTTTTTTTCTTTGTCTCTCATTCACATTTCAATTGTGCAACATTTCAATCATGCATCTGGTACCACTTTCATCTCCCTATTTAGGTAGTAGCAAGTAAGCAGCAATAAAAATATATATAATCCAAAAATTTTGCAATGCTCGTGAATATTTTAAAATAACGGCCCAGAACAAAACATTTTAAATGAATATAAAATATGCAAAAAGGCCATTTTACCTTACTACTCTATTGAAAACAATAGTATTTATATTTGAATCTTTATATAGGTGTTCCACCAAATGAGTGAATTGTTATTAAGCCATTTAGTTGTTTACTTGTTTAGAAGAACTCACCAGGCCTAGTGGTTTCAGTTGGCTCTGTCATGAGTGATTGATGCTTGGGCATTTCCACTTTCATTTATGTAAATTATCAAAGGCTCCTATAGCTTCTTCTAGTACAAATCCATTGCCTTGTCAATGATGCAAAATTGGAAAGTGTGGGGTACTGCACTCTAATATGGTGTTGAATTATTTTAACCTAATCTGCCAAAATATTGTCTGGAATAAGAAATTTTTATCCAGTTGTCCAGGGCTTAGAATAGGCTAAAAACTCTCTGACAGTGACACATTTCATACAGGTCTCAGTGCTTCCTTTTAGTCCAGGATTCCAGCTGAGAATTAGAGTAGTTTCCATTTCCTCTTTTCCACTGAACAACCACTAGAACATCCACCCCAAATCTGTACGTTGGGCAATATTCATTTGTGTGAAATCACTGGGCCTGAAGTATACTATTTGCTGAAGTATCAGATGAAAAAGATTTCTCTGAATACTTTAGCAACAATATCTGGTTTATTTTCCTTGAACACTAAAGAGCATCCAATAATAAATCTCTCTCTCTCTCTCCAAAAGTATCTTTGTGTTCAAGCTTGAGAAAGAGAAAAGCAGCCACCAGCATCTAGGAGCTAACCTGGTACTATCCAATTAGCCTTTGTGTTCTTCTACTGAACATAAACAATTTCACAAAGCATCATCGTCAGGCCAGGCCACCCTGTGACTGGGATGGAGCAGGTCAGAAATGGCACAACTCCCTTATCATGCCTGAACACAGACAAAACACGAACGTTGTCCAAGCCACAAAATACCACACATGCCCCTCTCTTGATAAATGAGAGATTACTGGGTGTTTTTTCTTTTTCTTTTGTTTTTAACCAACAATAGCCAAAACCCAAATCCTATGAGTGCTTTCTAACTTGGTTCCTCAAGATGTGCATCCTCCCTTACCAACACATTCAACCACTGGTGTGTTCCTGGTGGTCTCTGGGTGGCGGGCATTGACAAACCCAATTATTGAAACCAGAATAGAAATTTTTAAGAAAATTCAGAATAATTTCTATCTTCAAGGTACTCACTAAAATTCTAATAGAAAATAAATTCCTTGAGCTTATTTTCTCACATCGTGGGTTTCGTGGCAAAAGACCCTTTAGTTCTCTCCCTCAGAATTACTTTTGTGAGATGTAGAATAAACAAGTGGATTATGGCTCATCTGTTAAATATTTACTAGAGGAAGAGGCATGTTTTCAAGGAGTATGATCCATCATGTTAGATCAACACCCAGGCCACAGTGAGCCTGGTGGTCCACGGTCCTGGGTGCTTATACAGAATCCTACGATGGATTCAATGTGAACCACTAGTAGAAAAACACAATTAAAGTGATATGGCACTGACTTTGCTCAAATTCTTGCTTTTCTCAGATTTTATCCTTATTGGGGATGCTTATCTCGTGACTATTATTTCCTCATCAAAGCACATTTAATGGTCTAGTTTATAAATACATAAATTTAAGTTGCCTGCTGTGAAAAAAAGATGTGAAGAAGTAATCTAAAGACCTGAGGTATGTTTATGCAAATCTCAATAATTTGTATGAGATAAAAAGTTTCCAATTATAGTATATAACTTCTGACCTTTTGAAAAATGACTACTAGCCTTTGCAAAGGACCAATATTATATTCTGCCTCTCTTAAAAATATAAACAGACTTCCCTTCTATAGGGCTTATTCCAATAAATAATTTCCATTCAAGGGAACAGTAACAACACCTTAAAAGTCATTGCCATGAACTGTATATTAAATACTGTTCAAGGAATTTGATGTACATTATTTCTAATCCTCACAAAACACCAAAAGATATATAGAATTATTCACATTTTATAGATGAGGACCTACATCAGAGAAATTAAATGATATGCTCCAAACACACTATATTAAAGGATAGAGCTAAGATTCAAACCCACTTATGTCTGACTTGATGAACTGAAGGATCTTTACTTGTGTGTGCATATGTGTGTGTATGCCTTCCTATTAGGTGAAATTACTTTTAACCCTCAATATTCTGTGTGGGTTTTTTTTTAGATTTTATTTATTTATTTGACAGAGAGAGAGACAGCGAGAGCAAGAACACAAGCAGGGGGAGAGGGAGAGGGAGAAGCAGGCTTCCTGCCGAGCTGGGAGCCCAATGTGGGACTCGATCCCAGGACCCTGGGATCGTGACCTGAGCTGAAGGCAGACGCTTAATGGCTGAGCCACCCAGGCACCCAATATTCTCTGTGTTTTAATAGCTCATTTAATGTATGCCTCTGAGCGTGCATAAAAATACATACACATATTCAAAACTTGCTATTAATTGCTATCATTTCAACTGCAAGTTTTAAAAGAATTTATCCCTAAATAAATATATTTGAGAAAATATACTGAATAAATATTATAGTTATCACCTATGATGATTTCTTCTGCTCTACCCCCTCAAATACTTTAAGATGGCTTTGGCCATGTGAATTTAGTATCAACACTCAGAGCCTAATCTCCATGATATAGATTCGTCACCCCTTTAGTAGTTCTGAGTATAATGTTTCTAATGCAGCACAGGGACTTCATAGAGAAATTGAAGAGGAATGTGAAATGACATTGTGAATTCAAGCAAAAACTCCTTCTTTCTTTTTCCCTATCTCTTGCTCTCTTTTTCTTTTGTATTTGTTTTTTCCCTTTTTAAAATGTTGATAAATTAGCTAACGTTCTACAAAAATGTCATCGAGGGCTGGAAGATCTGGAATCATCAGGTACAAAAGGACATTCTACCAATGCTCCTGCCTGCCCCGAATTATCCTTTGCCTTTATCAGACTGCATCACTATCTTTATGCTATTATTTTTAAAAATTTCATATGGGGCATGCTCATTTTTATCAAATTACAAGGCACCATAGAAATATACTAATCCCTTGTTGGCTAATACAATGATCTTTTAAATATCAGAGGGGTCAAATTATTTCCAGTTTTTTAGATCATGAGACATGTAGTACCAGAGATCTTTAATTTCAAAGTGCAATGCAATTTCAAAATTGTCAAAATGAAAAATATTCATTTGCCCGTGATAATTTTTTTAACTGGCTCATTCAAGACGCAAACCCTCTAACATTGGAATGCATTTACATGAGAATCATCTTCTATTCCGCCCATCTTATTGCCTCAAGAAATAAATGGATTTTAGGGGAATTTATTTAAAAGACATCTCTGTCCGAGGTGGGGCTCACATTGCTCGGTGAGGCTGCAACAGTTTACCAGAAGGAGTCAGGCCATAAAGAAAGAAGTGCTGGTGTAGGGTGGGGCTGAATAGTTTGCATCTTTTCCCACTGTTTCTCACTGGTATCGTTTCCATGAAAATCAAGGGTGTGGGAATGTGTGCCAGGCTAAGAAATCCTACGGACTGCTTTGTGTGCCCAACAGCCCCAGCCCATAATATCTTTATCTTAGCCGTTTATTTTAATCAATGAAAGAGCTATCACACTATCATGTCTGGGAAAACTGTGGAGGAGCTAAGCAAACCAAAGAAATATCATGCTGAGGATCATATTTCCCCTGTCACAACAGTCTTTTCTCCTTAGGAAGAATACACTTAGCACGGAACCAAAAGGCGTTTGCTGTCTGGCCATCTCAAGATCATCCCCGAGCAAACATCTGGCCAAAAATCTTCCTTTTGCTTCACAATCCACCTTGCTTAACATTTCCTTTTAAACTCACTCATTCTAAAAATAAAATGACTCTCTCTATATATATACCCAGTTAACAGCAGAAGCATCCATCAGTGGCCACAATCCTCAATAATACACATGCAGAGCACACCTTATCTCTGTTCACTTCACCATGTTCCAGTCAACGTATCCATTAGGAACCCTGGTTCCTTTCCTATTCTCAGAAAGCAGCAGTCTGCACCTGCCTCTTTAAAAAGCAATGTTTGGCACTGCCATAGTCTATAGTTACTCATAATGCTCCACGGTTTCTGTAATCTCATTGATATTACACACTAACACATACACACACATATCTCTATACAGACATTCCTAATTCCGGCAATTTACCTTTTTGGGTTTTTTCCTTCTCTGACTACTGCCGTTGAACTTCTCTCCACTGTCGCTTTTCTGAGCTGCATCTTCGTTCATCATTTTGAACAGTTTGGAGAGAAAATAGCTCTGCCATTAAACCCTGCTGCTTGCACAGACCACTAGCGAGTATGCACTTACTGGAGGAAAGCAGGAGCAGGAGGAGGGGTGGGGAAGGGGCGCGCGCTGGGAGGGTAAGGACGGTGACGTTGCCATGGCAGCAGCTGCCACAACTGTTTATCTGACTGCATTGTTAAATCTGATTCAACCAATTACCATCAGGGACCGGTTACAATGAAGAAAGCCTTGAAAAAAGAATGCCAGGGACTCGAATGATTTGGGGACTCTGCTGGTTGGTTCTTGACACACCTTCGATTCGATCAGCTCTCAACCCACACACAAAACCTGCACTTAATTTTCTTCCTACAGGTACTTCAACACGGAACAGACCCAATGCATGATGAGAAAACTATAACAATCTTGAATGTGTCTCTGAACCTGAAGAGATATATTTCAGCCAGTGAAGAGGCTACTCAAGGAAAAGGATTAGCTGTTAATATCCTAAAGTGCATGTAAGAAAGTTACAGTTTTATGTTATTCACTTGATTCCAAATGATAATCTTTCAAAACTCGGCTCAAGGATGACTTTTGTCATGAAGCTTTGAGAACACGTTCCCCATCAACCAGGTAACACAGATCACTCCCTCCTCTGGGCCTCCTCCTTCCACTGCACACTTCTGACAGAGCACCTGCCAATACATCTCACAACTGTATGTTCCCATCAGGAGCTACTTAAGGCCTGGGATAGTAAGTGTGTATGAGTGTGTGTGTGTGGGTGTGGGGGTGTGTGTGTGTGTGTGCGCGTGCGTGCATGCGTGCGCGTTTTGGTTGGAAAGAGATCATTAAATTTCCCAGAACCAAGCATGATGCATTATATATTAAAGGCAGTTAATCAAGGTTTGTCAAATACATATGTAATATGCAGGGTAACACAAATACAAGAAATTCATGCAGTTAAAACATTTTATAATTAATCTTAACCTAATTCTTCTTATTGACTGATAAATAAAACTCAATCCCTGCTTTCAAGGAGCTTATGTATAAAGTTCCAGAATTATTCTTGATAAGAAAAGAAAACAGGGCTGATTTTTATCACAGGAAAACCAATCTCATCTTTTGGATCGAGGTGGCCATATTTGTATATTTGTGGGTGCAACCGGAGCCCCACATATTTGGTGCAAATACACGTGCACACACTAAACACTCATCCCTACTCCTAGAAAGCAAACTCAAAGTACAATACACAGAATACTTAAATGTAAAAATAAAGTAAGGACCAACCCAATGAGATAATGCATATAAATACACTTTGAAAACTGAAGGTGCCTATGTAAATGTGTTATTGCTATTGTTGACCCTACCATCATTATTACAAATATATATAATTTTCAACTTAGAAAACAACATTAGAAAAATGTTTCTTACATGGAAATGACTACCCAAATTGGGAACTCATCTTTCCAATAAACATGAGAAGACAAATTCACCTTCTCTCCCCACTGTTATTGGGATTGCTCTTCCTCTCTGCTTTACCACCCCAAAGACATTTGCCACATCCTCATCTAGAGTCAACCGAGTCCTTCTGCCCCTTACTCTCTCTACCCTCCTTCTGTTTGAGCAGACACACCCCACCAGTGATGCCTTGGATCCCACAGCCAGGAAAGGGGCAATGGGCCTCTTTTTTCTGAAACAAAACCTTATAGGAACTTCTACAGAAGCCTCTGGAAGCCCAATCCCCACTGTTGTCAGCCCTCACAGAAATCCCCCACGATATCCTCCCAATCCTCTGCTATCCCCTCAGCCATCCCACTTATTCCCTCACCCAACCCCATTGTGCATCCCTCACTTGACCTTGCTTAGGAGCACCCTCAGCCTGGAAATTGGGTTCGTTTACTCAATAAACATCTGTCAAACGTTTACCATGTACCAGGAACTAACCACTGGGGATATAATGGTCAACAAAACTGGCAACATATTTGCAATCGTGGTGCATCACTGCATTGTAAACTGCAAAGAAGTGTACTTCACATTTCAGTACTTTATGAATCAGTAATTTCTGATAATGTTCAGACAGCCTCTCATAACAGTGTCTTCTCTGTCAGTACCCAAATATATAGTACATGGCTTTAAACAGATTCGGGCTTCCAATTTTAACAATGAGCTCTAACCTTCTAGATGCTTGGTGCTGTTCTGAAATATCATTTAAGCTTTTATACAAGATATTTCCATTACAGAGTGAAAGTACTGCACAAACTCTGCACCATGTAGCATACCATAGATGTCAATATCTGTATTTAAAGTATAAAATGAAATCTCAGTAAGTAGATCAATAAAACAGGTGCTGGTAGTGCTATGTCCATTTCAGCAATAGAAAGTAATATTCTACATATAAACAATGTCAATAAGACATTATGGTGTTGCAGGTGTTTCGGTTCTGCTTTTGAGACTTTCGATCAATTTTTTGGTGCCTCACTGTTGTATACTATTAACTTTGTATCCTCATAGTGCAGTTTTTAGCGGGCATGTATTTGGATTCTAAACTCCTTGAGGGCAGGATTTTTGTAAAGATTTATTTATTTATGATTTTCTGATTTATGATTATGATTTAAATTTTTTTTTTAAGATTTTTTTTTTTTTTATTCATGAGAGACAGAGCAAGAGAGAAAGGCAGAGGGAGAAGCAGGCTCCCAAGGAGCAGGGAGCCCGATGTGGGACTCGATCCCAGG